AATCGGTTTATAGATAAAAGAAAGACACGTGCTTAAACTTCTATATTAGCTTTGTAACACATTACTTATTAACAAATGCAGAGTTTCATGAAATAAAACAAAATCCCCTCATCCCTCCTCTGATTAGTTTATTTAATGGAGAGCAGCAATAGCTATGTTACCGTCTAATCTGCTTTTCTTTGTAACTCTAGTTAAACAAGTTGACATGTAGTCAACTGAAAAATGTTTTCTGTTCTCCACGTGAGTTAATCAAACCAGAAAATAGCAAATTTCACATCAGCCCTTTCTGAGTGTAAGGTTTCAGTTAGCACCTAGAAAAATGGTTAACTGTGGGCCATAGACCAGTTAGAGTCAGGATAAAGCTGATAACAGTAAGGTGGGGGCTTTCTTGGTTCTCGGTGAGGACTGCAGGGTGCCCTCTAACCCGTGAGTATCCCTAGGGATTATACTTTCAACTGGATGGAATGTGTCCTTTACCTCCTTTTCTTTGGGTAAGTCCCTTTACCACGTTTTGTTTTGATCGAGGGAGATAGATATGTTGTGAAGCTAAGTGGACCACTTCCTGTCTCTTGGAAAAGGAGGTGTAGAATTATGGAGGAACTGAATAAAGACAAGGAAGGGTGGATGATGGATGTGATTTCTCAAAGCAGTGGAATATATTTCTTGCATATTATTGACAGATAATTTTATTTCCTGAGTTGCTGCCACATCTTCAATGGAAGTACCCGACAGAGACTATGTTAAGATCAGCATACAAATTCTGTTTTTTCACGCAACCCAAGATGGAATTCATTTTATTGCCAGTGATGATATTAATAGAGACTTAAAAGATTTATGTTGTTAATTTATTGGTTTTTTTATTGGATTTAAAAATAGGAATTTATGGAGGATTACTTGGGCTTTGGTGATAGGTGAGGTGTGAACCCATGCCACTAAAACATATATAGTACAGCGCAGTGTTAACATAAACACAATTTTAAAAAAGTAAATAAAATCAGGAACTTCTGTACCAGCTTTTACGTGTTTTCAAGTCTGTTAGCATTTAATCTTTTTGAATGTGTCATTTTATTCCTGTTTGACATTGTTGATTTATTTTTATAGTAGGTTTCTATGCCAAGGGTAAATTAAGCTGTGCCCTCGGGCAGAAACCTTCTGGTTCTGTTCCTAACTGTGCTAGAGGTTGCCTAATCATCTCTGTGACTAAAGAAATCCATTTTAAATGCCCTAGCTAATTCTGAATTAAATTTTTTTTGTCTTTCTCATCCATGAACTTCCAAATTTTTTCAAAAGAATAACTGCTGGAAGTAAATTCAACATAAAAATTTCTGAGAAGAAGGAATAGCTGTAGTGTTCAAAGTTATAATTCTCTCATCTTGCTCCTATAAAACATTGGCATTCCTTGGACTAGACAGAGATGTTCCATGTGCTAACGTGAAATAATCTTTTTTGAAAGATCTGTTAGCTTTTATACCTTAAATAACATACAGTTTTTGGGGAAGGTTCTGAATGCTACTTAGGAATGTTGGTTGGGGCGGAGGGAGCACGCTGAGTGGAATGAGGAATGCTTCCTCTGTGGGTCACGTCTGCCTTCAGCACTCCATCCCCACTCACAAGCAATGGAAAACTGCTCCTAGAGCGGGCCTGCGAGAGCGCCGCCTCAGACTTCCTTGGTTTACCAAGTCTTCAGCAATGCCATGCAGGTCCAATTTCTTCAGGCTGGAGGAATATTTTCCTGAAGTTGGAGGTAGCTCATTTTGTATAAGAATGTGTTAGGAGACAAGTTCTTACTCTACAAGTTGGTGTCAGTCCTCTGCTTTTCTCCTTTCTCTGCCAGGGGAGGGCGGTGGCTCTCGGCAGGGCCTCACACACAGGTGGGCCACTTCCCTATACTGAGAGGTAAGCTTTGAAGTTAGAGTAACCATTTAGTGCCACAACATTTTGACACACTTATTGAATCCAGTAAAATTTTGAGTTTGTGGAGTGTATTTTTCTAGAGATATTACTATTTTTCTCTAAGGGGTTGGAAATGAGAAAACAAGGATCAGCCTGCACCACCAATGGTTTGAGAAACTGCTCTAGAAACGACCACAGGTCAGAGACTGAGACTCTCTCCATGGTACTTTCTTCTTTTCTTTTTTTTAAGGGGCTTTATTCTGCCTTACTCCCAAGTCCAAGAGCCTAGACTTTCTAAAAAATTAATTTAAAAATTTTGGTAAAATACACATAATGTAAAATGTGCCATCTTAGCCATTTAAAATACACATTTCAGTTCTGTTACATTGTTGTACAACTAGTCTCTAGAACTTTTCAAACTCTATACCCTTTAAAGAACAGCTCCTCATTTTCCTTCCTCCCACCCCCTGGGAACCACACTACCACATTCTTTCTGTCTTAGGATTTCATTACTCCAGGTACCTTACCGAAATGAAACTATTCCATGTTGGTGTTTTGTACCTGGCCTATTTAACTTAGCAGAATACCCTCAAGGCTCACATGTATATAGTATATGTTAAAATTTCCTTCCTTTTTAAGAAGAATATTCTCTTTTATGCATGTGCACATTTTGCTTATCTATTTACCAAGCCATAGACTATTCTAAATAATGCTGTGCTGACACGGATTTACAAATACTTCTTTCAATACAAACACTGCTTTCAAATTTGGACATGTATCCAGAAATGCAATTGCTGGATCACATGAAGTTCTTTTGTTAATTTTTTATCTTTCAGGTGACTGTACCATTTTACATTCAGTGTAGAACAAGCTACAACAGTGTAGAAGAGCTCTGTTCTACATCCTGAACAGTATTTGTTATTTTCTGGTGGAGGGGTAGGGGTAGGCTGGTTTTAATTTAGTAGCCACTGTGCAGAGTGTATAGTTTTATCCCATAGTGGTTTTGCTCTCCATGCCGAGTGATCAGTCATGCTGAGCGTCTCTGCTTGCTGGTCATTTGTACATCCTTGGACAAAGGCATATTCAAGTCTTTTGCCCATATTTTTAGATTATGTGTTTTTTTGTTGTTGATTTGTAGAAGTTATCCATACAGTCTAGATGTGAAGTCCACACCGGAGATACTGTGTGTATGCATTTTCTCATTCTCTTGGTGGCTCTTCCACTGTTGATTGATACACAGAAGCTTCTCATTTTACTTTAGTCCTATTTACCTGTTTTCCTTTGGCTTCTGCTGCTTTTGGTATCGTATCAAAAAAATCACTGCCAAATGTCATCAAACTTTACCCTTAAGAGTCTTATAGTTTTTGCTCTTATGTTTAGGTCTTTGATGCATTTCAAGTGAATTGTTTTCCTAGAAGAGAAGGACCTGCTTTCATTCATTGCCTGTGCATATACAATTTTGTCAGCAGCATTTGTTGAAAGAAGCCTGGCTCTTATGCTCACTTATTTCTTGCCTGGTCAACAAAGTGAAAGATGGCTGGCAAACAAGTATTGCTGGGAAATTTTGGATACCGGTTTATGCCTTGATTTTGGCAATTTGAGGGGAAGAGGGAATATGGCTATTTGAAAGCTAAGTGTCATGATTTAGTGTTATACACACACACACATGTCTGGCTGTTTTGCTGACATTATTATTATTTCAAAATGAAATTTAAAATAAATTTCATGGTGTTTCACAGAGCACCATCCACCTTTCAAACAAGCTGATATCCCCTAAACTAAAATACTTGGTGAAGAAAAAGGAAACTTGCGGTCAGGTAATTGAAAGTGTCAACCCCAGTGGGCCTGATGTACAAATTTACTCTGAATATTACTGAGTTCCATGAGGGTGGTGGGGGAAGAAGCTCTTTTGAAAAGCTAATGTTTTCCCTTTTTCCTTGGCCACTAGGAAACTCAGTGCTCAATTTCATGGTTGACTGCAACGCCCTCTCACTCTTTGGTTTTTGACTTTGTTTTCATTTGTTTTAATTTTCTTTATAAGTTTGTTGCATAGGGTATAATTAGCATAAACTTAAATATAAAATGCACCCATTTCAAGTTTTGACAAATGATATACTTGCCCAATAACCACTTCAGTCAAGATTGTAGAATATTTCTATCCTCTCAAAACATACTCCCACACTGCTTTTTTATCATCACTCCCTTTTTGCCCCTTGTTAAGTTGTTCCACTGATTCTATGCCCTTGGATGTTAGCCACCAACCTGCTATAAATACTTTTGGAAGTAGGTGGATGAAAGAATTACTTAAATGAAATAGTCATTTTAAGCCATCGTTCAATTTCTTTTTTTATATAAAAAAAAAAAAAAAAAAAGGTGGGGGCCAGCAATGCAACTTCTTAGTACTTAAGTCTCATTGCAACTCACATCCGTGAGCTGGTGTCTTATGAAGCATTGCCAGATATTTTTAGAAGACCATGTTCTTTTCCCCTTAGAATTAAATGCCTAGTTCAAAGGACTTCTAAAACCAGACAAGTTTGTTCCTGTGTGGGTCTACCCACACCTAAGTGATCAACATTTTTGCCAGAAGATGAGGTAGGTAATGAGCACCAGTTAGAAAGCTAGTGGTCTTTCTAGTAATTTAGTAAGGTATGACCTATGAAAATCTGCAGCTGTTTTTTGAAATATTAGAGCTGTGACTTGGTTGTAGATGTCATAGCAGTCTCTTGAAGTGACAAGTATAAGCAACTGAATTGTATTTGAAGACAGCAGGAGTTCTAGGAGGTTTCTTGAAAGATAGGAATTGTGATGAGCTTAACCATGAGGAATTGTAGCATATAATTTGTGTCAGAACAACATCAGCATCAGTATTAGTTGTGGATCACATACGAAGTCTGCCATAAGGAGCTATCCTTGAAAAGAATCTTTGGCTCTTTTCTTGAACACAGTGAAATTTCTGTTATCTTTTTCTTTGCCAGAAGTTTGACTGATATTTAATAATGAAATATAATTGGTTCTCAAATGTGTGTCCATTTGATGAAAGTGGCAAAGTCTAATCTTAATAGACAAAAATTGACTAAATTTTCTTCGTCCATTTAACTTCTTTTTAGGACTCAGCCCAAAACCATGTTTGCTCAAGTTGAATCTGATGATGAGGAGAAAAAGAATGAACCAGAATGGAAAAAACGCAAAATTTGAAGAATCTGCTGTGAGAGCTGTTTGCATGAATGAGGATTATTGGACATTTTTTTAGTGAAATAAAAATACATTTTTATGAAGAGATTTTGTCCTTGTATTATTGACCCATTCAAAAGACTGGTAGCTGTCCATAGCTAAAGTTATGTTTCATATTTTCTTACCTACAGCTATTAAAATGAGAATGAGTCTTAACTGCCTTGTACTTGAGGTATTTGCAAAACTTTATTCAACAAGTATTGGTTTTATACTGATTCTCATAACTTTGGGTGAGGAGAAAGTGTGTGCACATAATAGGAAATTTATATCCATCAGTTGATATTTCTGTATAACTCTACAACAGTTGTTTACATGACTGTAAATAATTAGGCTGAGTTCAAACTAAAAGCATTGGCACATAGGAAAGAACATGCATTTAATTATCCTTCAACAACAGAATGCACTGTTTGAGGAGTTAAGAAGCAGACTTTGAAGTCAGACTGGTTCAAGCCCTGATTCTGTCTAGGCTACCTTTGAAAGACTGTGACCCTCTCTCTTCCAGCCTCAGGCCACAATAGTTCCTCCCAGTTGGTTGCCAGAAGGGTTGGATGAGATATTCCTCATGGAGCAGTTAGTACAGCACCCAGAACACCATAAATATATAGTCAATTTTTGCTGTTTTTCAATAGGGCTAATAAAATATATTTGCCTGATTTGTGTTGGTATGAAAGGTATAGAAATACTTGTAGATGCAAGAAATATGTATGTGGAAAACATTAAGAATAATTCAAAAAGATCCTCATACTTCTGTGACTAGAAAACTAAAATAAAAGTTGGCAGTTGGTCCAAAGTGGTCATGAGTCAGTAGAATAAAATTCTGTGGACTGATTTCACATAGACCTGGGGTAGATTTTGCATGTTAAATACTCCTCATTAGACAATTACCTTTTTCAGTTCTCTTGTCTTTGCCCTTCATGTTCTCATTTGTCTTAGTGACTTAAAAAATAAGTGTGAATGATGATTTAAAATGTATGACAGAAAGCTCCTGTTTCTACAGTTCTCACATACCTTCCCACCTACACCCCCCACACCCCCACCAAAATTTCTTTTAACAACCACTCACACACAGCTTTCTTTGCTCTGTAGTTCTGAGGTAGTGACAATAGGCATTCTTTCATAGATAAATCCTGAAAAGCATCATTCTTGTAAACGATTCTGTCTTCATTGCATTCCCCTTCTCTCACAACCTAGCTGACAGGCTTAAGGTAATAAGTGGAAGAACTAACCTTTGCTGATGCCTGCTTTCTAATGAGTACTATCCTAAGCTTTCCATATGCAGTTGCTCATTCAATACTCACAAAATCCCCATAAGTAGGTGAAAGTGCTGAACCCATACTACAGATAGGACAAAAGTTCAAGATGTCGAATAACTGGTCTGACCTCACAGGCTTAGGACTGGATTGCAGAGGAGATCCAAGATCTCTCAGTGTCAATAAGTAATGACAACCCTGTGTTTCCTGTTCTCTTGCAATACTCTTCCTCTAAAACCAATTGCAAACCAATATTTTGATGCAGCTGTGCCGCATTTGTAAACGTATTGCTTCTTGGATAAAATCTGAAAACATTTCAGCTTTTTCTGTGTTAACACAAACACTGCACCATATGGAAGTATTCCTCTTGCACAGCCAGACATTGCAGTGTTGGCGTGGAGGGAGGAATGGATCTTGATCTTAGTGGTCTTGGCAGAGTCTGCTCTTAGTATGGAGAGAGAAAGGCAAATTTAGCATGAAGGTGATTTTCTCATTATTACCCACAGCACAAGTGAACTTTTTCATGTTTGAGCAGACCTACTTGACTCGAGTCTCATAAAATTTTTTTCCAAATGTTCAACATCACTTGTAATAAGGGAGATGCAAATTAAAACCATAATGAGATACCACCTCACCCCAGTGAGAATGGCACATCTTCAAACAACTAGCAACAACAAATGTTAGCGAGGATGTGGAGAAAAAGGAACTCT